GAGGCGGCGGAGAGAAGGAAGGCCGAGGAGGAGGAGAGGAGACGGCAGAAGCTTCTAGAAGAATCCGAGAGGCGAAAGGTTTGGATTTTAAATTTCTATTAATCATTTCCTTATAAGCTGTAGAAATTATATCAACTGTTATAATTGTAAAATTTCCATTATTATGTTTGGAATTTTACGTGCGGGAGATTCCAAGTTAGTCATTGAGAAGAGATCAAATTGCAAAACAAAAACACTCAATGGAACAAAAATAATTAAGTAGCAAACAATCCAGTTTTCTGTGGTTCATACGAAGATGGTGTTGAAAGGTTAAAAAAAATTAAAACGAGCACTAGAGAAAACCAAGACAAAATGTTATAATGGTTGAGGTTATCAGAGATGTGCGAAATTGGAATTGATGCAATACCGTGACTGAAAATTCTGGCTATTTGCGAGGAATCTGTTGGTGAGGGAAAACTGAAGCTATCCCGATACAGAAACATCCCCTCATTTGGTTAGATTTATCATGGTCAAGTTGTTCCATGTGGTTAGATAAGCAAAAACATATGAAGATATAAGACACAAGTAGAGAAAAGGAAAGAAAATCAAGCATTGAAGAAAACCTATGAGTGTTCAGGAAGAAGTGAGGATTAAGGAAGATGATACCATTCGCCAGAGCAAATCGGCTTCTTCTTTGAGGCCTGATAAGCCAAAGAGCAAAAGGGAAGCACACTCCAGCTTTAAGTAATAAATGGGAAAACAAAAACTCTATGAATCAATTTTTAGTTCAGAAGTCACATGGCAGGGAAAAAAAATCTTTCATACTGTTCCTTCCTCTATCTAATCGTGCTCTTTGGCAGTCTTTGTTTTGTGACACGGTTCCTCTTTTGTTGTGGTAATGCGTATTACAGGGGGAGCATTCAAATGAGTTGGATGAAGATGATGAATGGGATTACATTGAAGATGGGCCTGCAGAGATCATCTGGAAAGGAAATGAAATAATTGTCAAGAAGAAAATGGCGAAAATTCCAAAGGGAAGTGCTGACAGGAAACAGGATGACAAGGTTTAAACTCTTAAAGCCGATTTTGATATCTTCGGTTACTTGGTTTGGTAGCATAGATACAGTATATACCCAGTGATACTATTTGACTGCAGGATGTTGAGAGACCTACATCAAATCCTCTTCCTCCTCAATCTGTAGCTTATGCTTCTTACAACAACAGGCAACATACTAGTGCACCGGACTTGCTTGAAAGTGTTGCTCAGCAGGTTCCAAACTTTGGGACTGAACAAGTATGCCCACAAAACCCTTTTCCTTTTATAGTCGGGGAGGATCTGCATTTGTGGTCACATTTCTTCTGCTTCCCATTTTATACCAAAATTTCCCCGTCTGTTTCTTGTGAGGCTCATATTTCTGTTTGATCTGTAGGATAAAGCTCATTGCCCTTTCCACCTTAAGACTGGTGCTTGTCGATTTGGAACCCGTTGCAGTAGAGTTCACTTCTATCCTGACAAGTCCTGCACAATACTCATCAAGAACATGTACAATGGCCCGGGCCTTGCTTGGGAGCAAGATGAAGGGCTTGAGGTTTGTTAGTCGATATTCCTTTGGCTAACATTGTATCCTGCTGATTGCTCTTGGCATCCTGTGCATATAATTTACTTATTTTATATAAGTCTTTCCTCATGCTAATATTTGAGTTGTTATTTGTAGCTGAAATTGTCTATTACTTGGCTTGTGAGTAAATAATTTTGACTTCCCTTAGTTCATTAAGTTACTTGGTCAAATCAAAAAATTGATTTCAATAATTAATTTTTAACAAAGATATAAAAACAACAAGAGAGAACAAAGATGTATCATTAGTGAGACAGTGTGCAGAGCTTGTTCTCTTTGGCAGAAGCACATCCTGCTCTTGTTTGTGTTTAGCACCTGTCTAAGAGCAATGCTTCAACTACAAACATGATCTCAAAAACTGATTTTGGTATATGCCAAAAAACATGAATATAAATATTTTCTTATATTTCCCTACTTGCACAGGATTCTATTTTCTCAGGTTTCTATTACAACTCTATGCTGATTATGGAAGGTTGCTTATTGTTTTATGACAGCATCCTCTCTTTGTTTTCTTTAACCAAATTGCTACCAGAAATTACATCTCAATGGATACTCAATGGAGGCTTGAATTTTGGTCTTCGGTTGAGGATGGAGACAACTTTTGTTTCGCTTCTGTATCCTATGTTTTTTGGCAGATTTAGAATTTTGTTTCATGATGGTATGAACTTCTTATAGAACCTAAAAACTGCTTTAGATGATGATTATATGGCAATATGGTGTTATGCATATCCTGATGGAAGGTTTTCGCCTTCGGGCTAGCATATATTTGGTTACTACACTGTAACAAGATCCTTAACAATCAGTAGTTCCGTTCTCTCATATCTGTAAGCTGTTGGCTGTCTCTCATATGAAGTTGACAGGTGAATGTAATTTGTAACACTATTTATAATTGAATTGTTCTCATAATAGTGTGACAAGTGGCAAAAAATTGTAGAAACTTATGCTGAATAAGATGTATCATTAGTGATTGAATGGAGAAAATTATAATTGGCAGACAACACATGAAAAATTGACTCTGATCTATATTAAATAAATAGAAGTCAGGTGTTAGGGATTATTATATCTTGTTCCATTGGAACCAGGGCATTGTTTTAGTGCTTTACATCAAACTAGAACTTGCTAGGAGGGGATGTAAGGGCATATAATCACCATGTGGTGCCAGGACACTGCTAAGGAGTTAACTTTACCGGGACAAGCGGCACAAGTAGCTGAAGTGATTTTCTTTGAATCTTTATAGCATAAATATTTTAGGCTGTACTTAGATTATGTTATTTGGTCAGTACATCTTATAATTTTTTAAGACCTTTTCTGTTGCAAGAGTAATGTTATTGGTTAGCTAAATAATACAATTAAGTTTCCATTATAGATTTTCTTAGTCTAACCAACTTTTGCCCTTTCAGCACACTAATGAAGAGATTGAACATTGTTATGAAGAATTTTATGAGGATGTACATACGGAGTTCTTGAAATTTGGAGAACTTGTTAATTTCAAGGTTGGTTAAGCTTAAATTTTAATTCCATATCTTTTAGCAGTGCTTTTTTTGTGTAATTTTTGCCATTGCCATTAGAGTTATTATTTTTGTAAGCATTGATGGATGTAGTTATAAAATTGTGATCACTGACTCTATTATGTCTTTATACATAGTAGTGAATTTGATTTGTCGCTCTTCATCATGAAAAACTCAACTTGTTTGTTCTTAATTTTATACAGTTCAACTAATTCTAAACTCATCTTTTAGATATCTGGCCCTAAATTTTGATTTCTTCTTAATCTGTGTTTCTTTCATACTTGAGAAGCTGTGATTCTTGTGTCAGGATCAATTGTTATGTTATATTTTCAGATTTTTTTTGCACCTAATTTGGTACTTATTTGTACCATTCCAGGGTGTATATTTTATCATATTCTGAGATTGAAGCTTACACTTGGTTGTGAGCTTTCACTTTTTCTATAAATGTAACTAATGAAGTGCTGAAGAGTGTTTGGATCTTGTTAGGATGGATTCTCTTTGACATCATCATTAGTTTTTATAAAGGATTGGATCCTCTTTGGAGCAAGGCTTCTCTGTCCTTACCGTCAACTGTGGTTATTTTTACTGGGCCATCCCTGTGGTCTTTCTTTACATATTTTTCAAAGACAGTCAGTAGGTTCATGGAAGCAAAAACATCTCAATTGAGTCTGTCATGTTCATGTCCACTGAAGTGAAAATATCTCAATTGCTTCGCTCATGTTCATGTTCTCTTGAATTGGCTCATTTTTAAGCTTCTATTTCATGCTAACTTTGAGATATATTATCTTTGGTATAGCACATAAACACCGTGTAAATCTCATGTTATAGAATGCTTGATAATATGCTTGAGAGTCTGTGGCCTTTAGTTTAACATATGGTGACACACGTCATAGGAAAGCTCCCCACTCATTACCACATAATAAATCTCAGAATGTGTTGACATATGATGGTGATGGTATTTCAGAATGTGATTTCTTTATGCTTCTTTGGGTATAGGTGTGCAGAAATGGTTCCTCCCATTTACGTGGAAATGTTTATGTGCACTATAGATTCTTGGAATCTGCTGTTCTTGCATACAATACCATGAACGCTCGTTATTTTGCTGGGAAACAGGTAATTTGTGTAGCTACTTAATTTTCAAGTTCATTTGAGAAGTGCAAGAGTTTCCTCATTAATTTCTGTTAGGTCTTTCCTAACTTTTATTGGTCAGTGAACCCTTAACATTCTTTTTTCTATGAACTAGATAACTTGTGAGTTTGTTGGTGTAACAAGATGGAAGGTTGCCATTTGCGGAGAGTTCATGAAATCAAGGCTAAGGGTATGATTTTCTGTATTTACTCTCTGAATAAGGCCTGCATTACCTGATATAAACATGTACACTGTACACTGCTGAGGAAGTTAACTAGCCGCAATGAATATATTTTGGTATTTGTCTGTGCAGAATTGCTCACGTGGAAGTGCTTGCAACTTCATACATTGCTTTCGCAACCCTGGAGGAGATTATGAATGGGCTGATTGGGATAATCCTCCACCTAAGTACTGGATCAGAAAAATGGGTGTTTTATTTGGTAATTCAGATGAATTAAGCTATGGAAAGCAAATGGAATTCGGAGACTTTGAGAGCCCTAGGGATTCTAGCAGGAAGCGGGCACCAATAACTGGCAGGTTTGCACTTCACATTGTGTTTGTACTGACTACCCTCCCTTAACCTCGTGATCTTTTAGTTCGTTTCAATCTCTTATCTCCATGTTTAGTCCTTCCCAAATTGTGCTTAAGGTCTTGTGGTTGAAGACTTGATACAGGATTTTTGCATTCCGCATCTAATAGCGTCATCTACGTAGCACGGACACTGGTGCAAACACGGACATGGACACGGATACAGACACTGGACACGTCAAACTTGTAAAATGTAGGATACGGGAACACGACTGTATATGTGTGTATAAAATTAACATTAGATCAAATATTAAATTAATACGTATAATATTTGTATGTCTCTTTCTATTATCTATAACAATTAAGAATCAAGTTAAATAAATCTAAGAATAAGGTTTAACAAGAAAAGTTTAGTTTTGATCTCATGGGATAATACAATGGGTGTTTTTCAAATATTTAAGTAATGGGTGTCACTTTTCGGGTTCAAAAAACCAATTGGCTTTGAACCTGATATTACCAAAGAAGCTAGTTTAGGGTATAAGTAACGGGGAAATCGGATTATGCTTTGAACCACAAGTGTCCATGGAGTGTCTGCTGAGAATCCGGGTCTGACACATGGCGGACATATAGGCGGCACCCAAAACAATGTGTCCAAGTAACCTAGAGCCTCATCCTTGCCCTTCTGCTCTAACACAAAAGCTCTCCCTTAATACGTCAGTTTTGGATGTAACAGGTATCATTCAAGACGATCTCCTGGAGATGAGATCGAAGTGCATGATTATGGTTCTGACAGGGAAAACTCATACAGGAAAAGGGATCGATCCAGCAGCCGCTCAGTTAGGAGAGAGCATTCTGAGAGGAGAAAAGATGAGTCCAAGCAACATGAAGAAAACCATAAATCCAAAGTCCATCATTATGATACTAAGAATTCTCCTCATGCAGCCAATGTAGATAGGTATAGGGAGAAGGATAGAGAATATGACAAGAAGCACCAAAAATTTGAATCCCATCAAAGGCAAAAGGGAGAGGATTCTTCTGTCAGGAAAGAGAAGTCAGAAAGGAAGCACCGATCAAAATCAAATAAGCGAGAAAGAGAAGAAGACATATCATCTCATCAGCTCTCAGTCTATAACGATGATAGAAGAAATCGTAGCAGTAGCCATTCAAGTGGGGAATATCTCAGGCACAGTATCGATGTTCAAGATCAAGATGATGCTAGATATTGCTCCAATGACAGTGATTCTGAAAGGAATTTTTCTGATCAGGATAGACCTCATCGCAATAAACAGCATAAATCACGACATAGAAGACACACAACCAATTATGATGAGAAAGCTAAACTGATGAAATATGAGGCTTATGATGACAGATGGGAAACTAGAGGTGAAGCTTCTGGAAGAGAAGAAACCGAAGAGAGCTCATATAATGGAAGCAGTAGCTCACACAGGAAACCTAGTAAAAGTGGTGGAAAGCTCAAACACTGCCGAAAAAAGAGGAGACATGTGGATAATAGTTCAGGTTCTGATGAAGAGTTAGATAGAAAGCCCCGTAAGAAGCATAGTCATGGGCAAAGAACCAGTGCAGAGAAGAGATCTCAGCAGAGAAGCCATAATTCTTGAAGCCTAGTATGGTATTTGATACTCGCGTGGAATCTTGTATACAACTCTACCATACAAAATGTTGTTGTTCACAAGTTTGCAGTCGTTTTCTGATGTATCCTGTTCTTTTTGGAAAGCTACCTTCACGCATGCCATCATGGTAATTTCGTATAATATCTCAGCCTGCTGTTTGAGTCCAAATCATTTCATCTGAGTGAATGAACTTATTGGTGTATTGAGTTTCGTGTAATGAGTTATCATCTACCGCGCAAGTCACCTTTATCCACAGAGAGTTTGAATGCGTAGTGAAAATAAGGGCATATCTGCAATTTTCAGAGTGATATTTTTCATACTAACTTAATTCTACACCAATACACATATGTATGGGGTCTTTCCTTCAAGAATAAACTTCGGAAAATCTATTGAAGAACTATCCTTTATAGTTGGCATTTCTTTGGATAAAGCAAGAATTCCTTTTAGAAGAATAACTATATAATACGTCATGTTTCGTCAAAAAATTAAGAGCATATTTCATTGGGAAGCAAAGCGTAAGATAAGAGTATATGGATATCCTTGACATATCTCAGTCAGCTTGCATATCTCCGGTGTTATCCTTTTTCTCGACCGTGTATTCAAATATGACGCCAAAATGTGATGGACCAGTTGCGTATTTGGACGATGCACGATAGAGCAAGTACAAAGCACATATGCCAACAGAATTATACTTCTTCCTTCTGAAGGCTTGCTACATTAGTGGGTGATTCTTAAAGCATCTGCTAATTCAATAGATTCTCTTTCCAAACACAAAATTTACTTGCAGATACACCCCTAGTGCTGTAGGGGTTGGACATCCCTAATTATTTTTACTGGGGCAAATTACGCCCGGGGGCAATTAAGTGTGATAAGCTAAAATTTTGGGGGGTTTTGAGACACCCCATAGTTTAGGGGATTTTGCGAGATAAACAAACTTCAGAGAGAAGTTATGTTCAACAGCCCTCAAGAGAGACGTTCTGTGAAATTATCCCTTTTTATTAGCACTTAGACATCATGATGTTCAATCATAGTTATCTCTTTGTTATGTGTACTCATTACCCACACTCACAATACATATACATATAGCACGTGGGTAACTCCGCTTAGAACATAAGACCTAAACGCTAATAAAAAGGTTTAGGGATAATAAGTGTCTAAACCCCTAGCATAAGGACTGTTTCTTTAATTACTCCAAATAAGAATTACAGATGATAGGATTTTAGAAATTTCTGATTAATAAGGTAACAAATTACGTTTTTGAGAATAAAGTTCTAATGATATATGCCTAGGAATATGATTTACCCTCATATTTCAAAAGTCAATCCCAAAAGAATCAGCATAACTATTTTTTTCTCCCATACTGCTTTTGTTCTCTAATTTATTCAGTCCATACATAGTAAGCATCCTCTCCACTATATAAACTCGCTCAGTTCTGTATCCATCCTCAATTCTCTCTATAGCTTTCTCGCCGCAAATTTCATTACAAAAAACTTCTTTCCCCTTAATTTGTTCTTTCAGTACTCCCCGAAAGGGCAGATGGCGGGAAATGAGTGGATCAACGGTTATTTGGAAGCCATCCTAGACGCTGCAGGTTCAAAGAAGCATCCCTTCTCTTACTCTTCTTCTGAACATGCAACTGCAGTCGTGACCCCTAGTAGGTACAGTCCTACTCAATACTTCGTCGAGGAGGTGGTCAATCATTTCGATGATTCAGACCTATATAAGACTTGGACCAAGGTATCAAATCGCCAATCCAATCGACAAACCATATAAGTATATATTTGTATTGTACCATGAAACTACCTTCTTCTTCTTTTTCGGTTTAAACTTGCAACTACGTAACAAGAAACGAGGACATATTTCAGGTTGTTGCAACTAGGAATGCTCAAGAACGAAACAACAGGTTGGAGAATATGTGCTGGAGAATATGGCATCTCGCGCGCAAAAAGAAACAGGTTTCCCTATTCTCCTTCTTTTATCGATATGCATGGTTATGCACGTAGATGATAAAAAACGAGACAGTCAGATAAAATTCTTATCGTGAGTTAGTCTAATAGTTTACTCAAGTCTATGAACGAAATTTTTTGCATCGATTTACATATGACGTGTTTCACATAGACAATAGTTTAACAGTTATTTACGAAATGGATGATTTTTAAAAGTTAACGCATTAAACTAGTTCATTCGAATGTTATGAGGCGATGAGGTGTTCAAATTTAGCTATTAGGATTGGTGATACTTCGAACAATAGATGAACGATAGCAATTATGAATTTTAAGAGTCGACTTAAGCAGTGCGTGATAAGACGTCAGCTCACCAGCTCATAATATCATTAGTCGATTATGCGTCTGTACGTACATAACGAAATTTTGGGTATCAGATCGAATGGGAGGAGGCGAGGTTGTCAGGCGCCTAACCTTTTTTTGACCCAGCCAACATGAAAACAAAAGTGGGGCCCACAAAGGCGGGCCCCACAAGAAGAAAAATCAAATTCGGTGGCAGCCATTGTTGAGAATTTATAAAGGATGTGGGTCCCACAAATATTTTATTATTAGTGGCGGGTCCCACATATAATATTATATTTGTGCATAGTGTTTTCTCAAACACTATAAATAGGGCCCTAAACTCTTAAGGAAATCTCATCCCAGAAACAACTCCTCTTATAGAAGAGTAAGAGAAAACATAGAGAGAGTTTGTGAGAGTTCTTGGAGTGTATCTGATCAAGAGAGGGTGTTCTCTTGGATCTATTCTTTTGGGATATAAAAGAATTTGGCGTCGTCGTTGCACCGTGGAGTAGCTCCGAAGGAGTGAACCACGTATATCTGTGAGTACTCTGGTTGATCTTGTGCCTTTATTTTGTGTATTGCGTCTCCGTTAGAGGCGTTCTTATTGGGGTGTATCCTAACAACTGGTATCAGAGCCTGACTTAGAGTATATATATCTGCTTGGGCCTGCCACTAAAAGTGGATCCTCCACATCAGAAAATAAGTTAGATTAATATTTACTCTTTTAAGGCATTGGGCACTATTCACGTGTACGGCACTATTCACTTATACGGTACTATTCACGGATACGGTACTATTCACGAATACGGTACTATTCACGGATACGGTACTATTCACGAATACGGTACTATTCACGAATACGGGAAAGACGTAATCTTTCGCCATGGGATCTACAGTTGAAGACAACAGGCTTCGAATTGAGAAGTTCGGCGGCCAAAATTTCAGGTATTGGAGGATGCAAATAGAAGACTATTTGTACCAGAAGGATCTCTTCCTACCCCTCCAAGGAGAGGCGGGGAAACCTGAGAAGATGGACGACGATAAGTGGAAGGTGCTCGATCGTAAAGCACTTGCCACCATCAGGCTCAACCTTCACCAGCATGTGACTTACAACGTCTCGCATGCGACCACCACCAAGGAGTTGATGGAGGCCTTGGAGGCGCTGTATGAGAAGCCGTCTGCTTCAAATAAGGTGTACCTGATGAAGAAGCTATTCAATCTCAAGATGCAGCAAGGAGCTCGCGTGGCGGACTTCTTGAACGAATTTCAGGCTGTGGTGCAACAGCTTGCTGCAGTAGATCTAAAGTTCGACAACGAGATCCAAGCTCTTCTGCTACTTTCTTGTCTACCAGATTCATGGGAAAATATGGTAATGGCGGTGAGCAACGCTAATGGCAATGACAAGATGAAGCTCGACACAGTGGTTGGGGCAATTCTGGATGAAGAATCTCGCCGCAAAGTCTCAGGAGCTGAGGCCTCTAGCAGTGGGAGTGCTCTGCATGTCGAGGCACGAGGGCGTGCACAGAAGAAGGGTAGGGGACGACGAGGCCAATCAAAATCCAGAGGGAAGTCTAAAGAGCCAAACCCGAATGGTTACGGTGAAGGGAAGTGCTTCAGATGCGGAAAGAAGGGCCACTTTGCACGGGACTGCAGAGTTACTGTTCAAGCATCAGCAGGGGATGATCGGGCTGACGGTGCAGCCAATCTCATGCACGAGACGGATTCGGATGCACTTCTCCTATCCCTAGAAGACAAAAGTGATGCGTGGGTCATCGACTCTGGCGCATCTTTCCATGCAACCTCACAACAAAAGCTGCTTTCATCGTTCGTGAAGAAGGACTTGGAGACAGTCTATCTTGGCGACGATCAACCTTGCAAAGTTTCCGGGAAGGGAAATTGTACCCTCAAGATGGAGGGCGGGACCACCTTGACGCTGAATGATGTTCGGCATGTACCAGATCTCAGGCGAAATCTTATATCAGTCGGGCAACTGACTGACTCCGGTTACAGAGTATCATTCGAGCAGAGAAGCTGGAAGGTGTCCAAGGGTGCCCTGGTGGTGGCACACGGCAAACGCGAGGGGTCTCTCTACATCGCCAACGGGAAGATCGACCACTTGCTTGCCGCAGGACAAGCATCATCATCATCATCCGTCGACTGCATGACTTGGCATCGACGACTTGGCCACATGAGCGAGAAGGGGATGCAGATTATGGCCGCGGGAGAGAGGCTTCCGGGTCTGAACAAGATCGATCTGACTTTCTGTGAGGACTGCATCCTAGGCAAACAAAAGAAGGTGAGCTTCAACAAGACCGGACCGGCTCCAAAACTGCAGAAATTGGAGTTGGTGCACACCGACGTGTGGGGACCTGCGCAAGTCCCATCTGTTGGTAACTCTCTTTACTTTGTCACTTTTATTGATGATGCTACGAGAAAATTGTGGGTGTTCTTCTTGAAGCACAAGTCAGATGTATTCATCATCTTCAAGAAGTGGCTTGCCTGTGTGGAGAACGAAACAGGCAATAAGCTGAAGTGCCTAAAGTCTGATAATGGAGGCGAGTATTGCAGCCAGGAGTTCGAGAACTTCTGCTCGTCCCGTGGGATTCGGAGACTGAAGACCGTCCCAGGCACACCTCAGCACAACGGAGTGGCGGAGCGCATGAATCGCACTATCTTGGAGCGCGCCAGAAGTATGAGGATCCACTCCGGATTGCCCAAGAGCTTTTGGGCTGAAGCTGTCAATACTGCTGCATACTTGATCAACCGCGGGCCATCCGCGGCTCTCAATTATGGGATACCTGAAGAGGCTTGGACCGGAAAGAAGCTGAAGCTAGAGCACTTACGAGTATTTGGTTGTGACGCCTATGTCATGACCAATCCTGCAGACCGGTCAAAGCTTGATCCAAAGTCAAAGAAGCTCTCTTTCATCGGCTATGGAGGAGATGAGTATGGGTACCGTTTCTGGGATCACGATGCGCGCAAGGTGGTGCGCAGTCGTGACGTCGTATTCCATGAGAATGCGGTGTACAAGACCAAAGAGGTGAGTGGGAGTCAGCTATCTCCCCCTCTTTTCCCAGATATTGCTGACAGTGAGGACAACGATGAGATACCAATCAGCATAGAAGACGGAGACCAAGAGAACATGCAGGATGCACAGCAGCAGGATCCAGCAGAGTTGCCGATCGCAATTCGCAAAGCTCCAAGAAATCCAAGGGTGCCAGAGAGGTACCTTTCCACAATGAATTACCTTCTCCTGACTGACAATGGTGAGCCAGAGAGCTATGAGGAGGTACAGCAGACCGGCAAAGCTCGCGGCGAGTGGGAGTCTGCCATGGAGGAAGAAATGAAGTCCTTGATGAAGAATGGGACTTGGGAGCTTGTAAAGCTTCCACGAGGGCGAAAGGCTCTTCACAATCGGTGGATTTATCGGGTCAAGGATGAAGCCGATGGACGGAGACGCTACAAGGCGAGGCTTGTAGTGAAGGGCTATGAACAGAAAGCAGGGATTGATTATTCTGACGTTTTCGCTCCCGTCGTCAAGTTGACCACGATCCGAACTATGCTGAGCATTGTAGCAGTTCAAGATCTCCACCTAGAACAGATGGATGTGAAGACGACATTCCTTCATGGAGATCTGGAGGAAGAAATCTATATGCATCAACCAGTGGGCTTCGAGGAACGAGGCAGGGAGGGCCTCGTATGTCGTCTGCACAAGAGCTTGTATGGCCTGAAGCAAGCTCCACGACAGTGGTACATGAAGTTCGAGAACTTTATGGAGGAGAACGGTTTTCTCAAATGTGACACAGACCACTGCTGCTTCATCAAGAGATATGACGAATCCTATGTAATACTCTTGATTTATGTTGATGACATGTTGATTGCAGGGCCCGACTTGGCCCGCATTGAGGAACTCAAGGGGCGTCTCTCCGAGTGCTTCGAGATGAAGGATCTGGGTCCAGCAAACCAGATTCTGGGGATGAGGATCATCAGAGACAGATCAGCACGGAGGCTGAGGTTGTCTCAGAAGGCCTACATTGAGAAGATTCTTGAAAAGTTTGGCATGGAGAAAGTTCATGGAGATTTGGAGGAGGAGATCTATATGCATCAACCAGTGGGCTTCGAGGAGCGAGGCAAGGAGGGCCTCGTGTGTCGCCTGCGCAAGAGTTTGTATGGCCTGAAGCAAGCTCCGCGACAGTGGTACATGAAGTTCGAAAACTTTATGGAGGAGAACGGTTTTCTCAAATGTGACACAGACCACTGCTGCTTCATCAAGAGATATGACGAATCCTATGTAATACTCTTGATTTATGTTGATGACATGTTGATTGCAGGGCCCGACTTGGCCCGCATTGAGGAACTCAAGGGGCGTCTCTCCGAGTGCTTCGAGATGAAGGATCTGGGTCCAGCAAACCAGATTCTGGGGATGAGGATCATCAGAGACAGATCAGCACGGAGGCTGAGGTTGTCTCAGAAGGCCTACATTGAGAAGATTCTTGAAAAGTTTGGCATGGAGAAAGCTAAACCGGTGGGCTCGCCGTTTGCAAGTCATTTCAAGCTATCGAAGACCCAAGCACCAGAGACTGCTGAAGAGCACGAGTTCATGGCAAACATACCATATGCATCTGTCGTCGGGAGTTTGATGTATGCGATGGTGTGCACGAGGCCAGATATTGCACAAGGAGTAGGAGTTGTGAGCCGCTTTATGAGCAATCCAGGGAAACAACACTGGGGTGCGGTCAAGTGGCTTCTTCGCTACTTGAGAAGCTCGGCCGACCGTTGTCTTGAGTATGGCGGGGCAGATTTGCAGCTAGAGGGCTTTTGTGATGCAGCTACATCTTCATCTTGGGAGGTGGAGCGATAAGTTGGAGATCCAAGTTACAGGATACTGTGGCTTTGTCGACAACCGAAGCCGAGTACGTGTCTGCAGCAGAGGCAGCAAAGGAGTTGCTATGGTTGAAGGCTTTTCTTCTCGAGCTTGGAGTAAGCTTTGAGAAATACTTCATCCACTGCGACAGTCAGAGTGCCATTCACTTGTCAGAGAACGACGCATTCCATGCTCGGACCAAGCATGTTGACGTGAAGCACCATGCCATACGGAGATGGCAAAGCAGGAACGAGTTCAAGCTTGTGAAGATTGATACGAGGTACAATCCAGCCGATATGCTGACCAAGCCAGTTCCACTCGAGAAGGTGAGGCTGTGTGCAGCCTCATATGGCCTCCGTTGAGAATGTTGAGGGCCGTGCAAGACGCCAAAGATACATGTCATCCGGATGATGCAACCAAGAGTGGTGTGAAGATATGATCGACATTCAATCAAATCTTCAAGTGGGAGATTGTCAGACGCCTAACCTTTTTTGACCCAGCCAACATGAAAACAAAAGTGGGGCCCACAAAGGCGGGCCCCACAAGAAGAAAAATCAAATTCGGTGGCAGCCATTGTTGAGAATTTATAAAGGATGTGGGTCCCACAAATATTTTATTATTAGTGGCGGGTCCCACATATAATATTATATTTGTGCATAGTGTTTTCTCAAACACTATAAATAGGGCCCTAAACTCTTAAGGAAATCTCATCCCAGAAACAACTCCTCTCATAGAAGAGTAAGAGAGAAAACACAGAGAGAGATTGTGAGAGTTCTTGGAGTGTATCTGATCAAGAGAGGGTGTTCTCTTGGATCAATTCTTTTGGGATATTAAAGAATTTGGCGTCGTCGTTGCACCGTGGAGTAGCTCCGAAGGAGTGAACCACGTATATCTGTGAGTACTCTGGTTGATCTTGTGCCTTTATTTTGTGTATTGCGTCTCCGTTAGAGGCGTTCTTATTGGGGTGTATCCTAACAGAGGTTGGTGGCGAAGAAGAGGCTGGAGAGCAGGGATTTAGGATATGAGGACCTTTCTGAGCTTTCGGAAGGAGAGAGGGAGAAGGCCGTTGTCGACTCGCCGAGAAATGGCGGTGTTATCCCGAGGATTAGTTCCGAGTTGGAGGTTTGGTCAGGTGAGGATGGCGCGGAGGCTAAGCGCCTCTACATTGTTCTCATCAGGTACTTCACTTCACCAGTGCAGGAACATTTCACAATTCAAACACATGTTTAAAGTTTTACCGCAAATCAACCATATTTGCAAATTTTACTTACTTTACCCTCGATTCTGTCATATTTGAGTTAAAATAACCCAAGTTATGTACAGAAGTATTCACGTGACATTCCTAGATTTTTCGTCAGTTGTTCAGCTGAAGCATTTTCCCTTCCACAGTTCGAAAGCAAAACAAGTTAAGTTTGGGGGGGTATTTGACTTAGTGCGGTAAAATCAAGGGTAAATTAACAAATATCTAGTCTTGGTTGATTTACGGGTTATATAATATAAGTTAAGAAAATCCTATATATTTTGTTGACTACAATTGAACTGGATGTATAGAGAGTGTCAATATAAGATAGTGTATATTTTTATTATATTTTTGGGTCTATTTATAGGCTTATAGCTCAAAAAATTGGTTACCCAAGAAGGATGCAACTCAACATAAAAATTAATGAATGACTAAATAAATAAATAAGAGGAGGATGAAACTCATTATCCCCCCCAAAAAAGATGAAACTCAAATTCCTCAATATAGAGGCTTACTATTGAAATTTTTACTCAATAATTTAAGGAAAATTGTCGATTCATAATTTTAGAAGAGTAAATGTGTAAATTTTGAAGTTTGGAGCTTCAGTATGTAAAAAAGAACACGTACAAAGGGATTAAGGAGCTCCTCTGCCCCGCGGGGCCCCACCAACCCAAAAAAAAGTGGGGCCCAAAATAACCACGAAGTTTATAGATCCGTAATGGCTCATTTGTTGGTGCCTCAATCTTCTAATATTCTTCATAAAAACCCCATAACGATTCCTAAATTTTGAACTCAATCCCTCTCATTCGGACACAACCCATGTCCCATTTCATGATCACCACCTGCTTGTCAAAATGCCTCGTCCAAAAATAACCCTGAGTCACGACTCAATATAATATTCTCGGCTCACCCCCGTTGCCAACAAAATTGAGAACAAATAACCCATCAGAAATAGTGGCTCTCAGAAGTCCGTCGTGATAGAATATGTATATTTTTCTACAGTGTAGTACTATTTTAATATAATTTTCCCATCTTATAACTCATATGTTTGCGTTTATTAACAGCTTGCATGGACTGGTTCGAGGAGAGAACATGGAGCTTGGAAGAGACTCGGACACTGGAGGCCAGGTATATATCCATCTTTATGTGCCCATCAAAGATTAAATCAAATTAGGCACGATGATGCTCAAGTTTTTTTTTTTTTTTTAACTTTGAGTGAAACACTAGGTAGATGTTAGCAATGCACACATATAAACCTCTGAGAGCTAGCATGTATCAGGTCATTGAAAATTTTATTGTCATGTCTCGCCAAATAAACCAAGATATTACCACACAACTAGTATCTGAATGACGCTGAAGCCCATACGCACATGATCAAATTTCAAAACTTTCAAGATTTGTTTGCCTTGATGATCAGGTGAAATATGTGGTGGAGCTAGCCCGGGCCCTTGCGGCCACCAAGGGAGTTTACAGGGTTGATCTTCTGACTCGTCAGATATCATCCCCGGATGTGGATAGGACCTATGGTGAACCTGTCGAGATGCTCACTCACACAATGGATGAAGATGCGTATGCAAACGTAGATGGCTGTGGAGCTTATATCATTCGGCTCCCTTGTGGACCACGGGATAGGTAAAATCTACAAATTATGAATTCTGAAATTAATTAGTTAAAGGTTTCGGTTAGATTTTTTTTTTTTTGTGCTATGTTAGTTTGTATAGAAGATTGATCAAAGAAAGTGCATAATACCTTCTATAAGATTACGATGCCTGTATAAAATGTTTTTTTAGCAATGCCTAATTGAATAAATGTTGAGGTAATACCATCTTTTTTTCATTTTTATTGATGATAGTATTTCTATACATTAGATATTACTGAGAACTTATGAGGACCTTTCCGTCTGACACTTGCTCTCTTAAAAACATTTTTAAATCTGCTTCTGCAATAGGCCTTCCACTCTGAATATTCTTGGAGATAGAGAAGTAAAGAGATTAGAACCATTTGTAAAATTAAAAGTTACAATTTTTTTTGGCTCTTGAGAATTTTTCAATTTTTACTCAATAATGAAATGCGAGGAACGAAGAATTTCAACCACAAGCAAAGCATCCATCAGAGAAATTATGCCCCCTCTGTATCCTACTTTCTCTATTCATGTTGGAGACTAGAATCCATTTTCTCCAAGCATCTTTCAAAGATTGTTTCAGACAGATCTGTAACAAGCCGACAAGGTATGGCATCTATATGTCTCATTAAACTCAAAGAAAGAAACATAAATAAAGTTTAAAGCAATCAAAAGAGTGAAACTTCATTTAGTTTAACCATGGTTGCTAATATTGTAAAGAAAATTTTGTCATTTATCAACATTCATGCTAAATTAATTTTATCCCTAAAGGACATGCATCACTTTTTCAATATATCTTGGCAAACATCTATATAGGAGTATCTAAGCTTGTGATATGGCTCCCTCAGTTTTGGGTTCAATTCCGGGCTGGGTTATCAAAAATAAAATAAAAAATAAAAAATAAAAATTGTGATGTGAAAGTTGAAGTTGCAATAAGTAGTCACGGGTTATATCTGCTGCAAATTCATTCCTCTTATGCTTTCTCTTCACTCAGATACATACACAAGGAAGCTCTATGGCCCCACATCCCTGAATTCATTGATCGTGCTCTCGCTCACATAACCAATGTAGCTCGTTCTCTTGCTGAACACCAGGCAGACTCCACTGCTGGATATTCTAAACCAACATGGCCATATATAATCCATGGTCACTATGCTGACGCTGCTGAGGTTGCAGCTCACCTATCAGGCTTACTTAATGTACCAATGGTGATGACCGGTCATTCGCTAGGCAGAAACAAGCTAGAGCAGTTGGTAAAGCAAGGGAGACTAACCCGAGGTGAAGTTAACTCTACTTACAGAATTGCGAGGAGAATTGAAGCAGAGGAGCTTGGGTTGGACTCAGCTGAAATGGTGGTGACTAGTACAAGGCAGGAGATTGAAGAGCAGTGGGGGTTGTATGATGGGTTTGATGTTAGGCTAGAGAGGAAGTTAAGGGTGAGAAGGAGGAGGGGTGTTAGTTGCCTTGGCCGATATATGCCTCGCATGGTGGTATTGCTCTTTGTGATTCCTTTCTTTGGAATTCTTGTTATTTGAGAGGGTAAGTATCAGAAACCCCCTTTGTGGGGTTTTGCGCAAAACCCCTGAACTTTACAAGTTAGAGAAAAATTCGCCCTTTAAAATTATACTATATCCCTCTAAACTATTGGAAAATCTAATAAATGACAATAATGAGCAAAATAATGAGATAATTATGGAAAATTGAATTTTGTGATGGAAAACTATGAATTAAGAGCATTCATGTGGGTAGAAAAAGACGACAATCAGGCCAAATTTTCAGACTTTTGACTCAACCTGTTCAGGAGGGTTTAGTATAGTTTTGAAAGTTAAGACGCTTTCTCTGATTTATAAAGTTTAGGGAGGTTTTCTGCAAAACAAAAAAACCCAATGTTTATGGAGGTTTTGTGAAATTTACTCCATTCGAGATGTGGGTCCTGTTGCCTCTTCATTTACCTTCCATGTAATTTCCTTTGCATAGGTTATACCACCAGGGATGGACTTTAGCTACGTAAACATGCAGGAGTTAACTGAAGGAGATGGAGACCTCTCATCTTTTTTGGGATCTGAAAGAAGTCAGAATAAGAGAGATCTGCCTCCCATTTGGTCTGAGGTAACATAACACATTTTTCTCTTCTTAGGCACATGGTCTTTCTTGTTTGATGAATTGTTTCTGGAAGATTATACCTTGAGGGGATTTCTATTTGGATAACAGCTTATGAACTAAATCAGCCAATTGCTTGCCTATGCCAGAGTTTTGTTAAAATGTTTGATGGCATCACGTAGGCAAGCATGTTGATATTCAAGGTTTGAATTATGTAACAATATCAGTATGCATCAATCGTATTGTACAGGATTTTAAGCACGTTAAACAATCTAGCTGAAACCAACCATTTCTGTAGATATTGTCTAAGAATGACTAAGTTGTAGTTGATATTGGCTAACTAAGGGAAACATTGACAGATATATAAACAAAGAAAATGCTTGTGGTTGAACTATTATTCAGTATACTGATAATTTGATGCAGAACTGTCGGTGCTCCTGACACTGATAGGAGACCATGGGTCTGGCTATCAGACGTTGCTGATATTTTAGTAACTTTGAATTAATTGCTTACGACATGTTCATCTTGTTTTGACAGATACTAAGATTCTTCACAAACCCTCACAAACCTATGATCCTTGCACTGTCTCGGCCTGACCCAAAAAAGAATGTCACCACCCTGCTTAAGGCCTTTGGGGGGTGCCGTGGACTCAGGGAGCTAGCTAATTTGGTAAGTGGCCCAATATACTCCACCACTATGATCTTATTAGTGATGCATAATGCATGACATTGTCTAGCCCTGCTCTCTTGCTGCAGACTCTGATACTAGGAAACAGGGATGACATCGAAGAAATGCATGGAAGCAGCACTGCAGTCCTCACAGCAGTTCTAAAGCTCATTGATAAGTATGATCTCTATGGCCATGTGGCATATCCTAAACACCACAAGCAAGGTGATGTTCCTGAGATCTATAGGCTTGCAGCCAAGACCAAGGGAGTGTTCATTAACCCAGCCCTTGTTGAGCCTTTTGGGCTTACTCTTATTGAGGTATTGAGCTGCTGGATGGTGCCTGTTTTGATTTGAAGTAAACTTTCTTTGAGATTATTTTAGAAATCGATGTGTCTTTATGTTTTGTAGGCAGCCGCTTATGGCTTACCAGTGGTGGCTACTAAGAATGGAGGGCCTGTGGATATTCTCAAGGTAGAGGCTGATTATAGCCTTTGTTAGTCATAATATTAAAGTGGATGCAAAGGGTTAGTTACATTTTTTAAGTTTCAGACTCTGGGGTGTATGGTAGAAGCCTAGGATCACAATTTTCTATGTCTATATTGACGACATATAAGTTATAAATAAATTCCACAAAACTACCATGAACTTTGGGGTGTTTTGCACAAAACTATCATACTTCCTTTTATTGAGGAAACAATGACGAACTTTTCACAAAGCTGCCATGTCTAACAGGAATTAGGTTATGTTTTCTTGTGCTTCGCTCGTGACATGTTTTGGACATTTTACGGTTTTACCGTTACGCACTTTATATTTATTCTATATCTCTCTTATGAACTTCGTGGGTTGATAGATACAAATAAGGTTGGTTTATGCCTTATATCTGAGATGTTTCCACTGTTAGCAATAATTTGCAGTTGTTCATGGTATTTTATGTAGTTTTGAAAATTCATGGTAGTTTTTTCTAATAAAAGGTCATGTAGTTAGTTATGTGCAAAACCTCAAAAATTCAGGGTAGTTTTGTGAAAATTTCCCTGAATTAACCGGGGTCTTTGGGTTTCTCAAGTGACTCAAATTTGTTTATAGTATAATATACAATGGTTGATATATCAAATAGTAGTTTAGACAGAATTTTATCACCTATAACAGAATATTGATTATCTTTCGTTTTTTTGGCTCAGGCATTGAACAATGGTGTACTAGTAGATCCACATGATCCCGATGCTATATCTGAAGCCCTTCTAAAACTAGTTTCTAACAAGAGCCTATGGCTAGAATGTCGAAAAAATGGCCTCAAGAACATCCACCTCTTCTCCTGGCCTGAGCACTGCCGGAATTACCTTTCCAATGCTGAGCTCTGCAGAATGCGCCATCCTTCAACTGCTATCAATCTCACTCCACGAGTTGAGGAGCCAATGAGTGATTCCCTTCAAAACATTGATGACCTCTCTATTCAGTTCTCTATCGATGGTGCTGATATTAACACTGCACTTCTAGAAGCCTTTCACCGTCGCAATCCTCAGCCTGTTGATTATTGCTCAAGTCCTTGTAGGAGACAGAATATATATGTGATTGCCACAGATTGCTATGATTCCAATGGAGAGATTTTGATGTGTGACTTGTCATCTGTGATTGGGGAAGTGATGAGAGCTTGTGGGCAAGATGGACACAACGGATTTGTGTTCTCTACAGGATGCACAATTGGTGAAGCAATTGAGGCATTGAGGTGTTGTAAAGTGGAGCCAGGAGCTTTTGATGCTTTAATCTGCAGTAGTGGGAGTGAGGTTTATTATCCATGGAAGGATTTGATTACTGATGAGGACTACAGTGCACATTTGGAGTATCGGTGGTCAGGGGAGCATGTGAAATCTTCTGTGATGAGGTTTGCTAAGATTGATGGTGCAATAGAGGAGGACAGTTTGATTGTTGATGAGGGAGCCGGCAGTTGTCATTGTTATGCTTACTCTCTAAGACCAGGAGCGAAGGTAAGTAGCTTACTCGAGCGAGGTTGCTCCTTGGTTGTATGAATTAAGCTGCATATGGTTCCAAAACATTTGATAACCCCGTCTTGGAACCATATGCTCCGTTACTGACTCTAACATGGGACTAAATCCGACCAAACTCAAAATTAAACTGAATGGGTCGGAGACACTCCTAACTGTAGAGAATATGCTAAATTAAAGTCATGAAATTGGGATTGATGCTGAAGAGACTGGTTACCAAATTTTCCCTAGCAAAGAAATGAGTTCAGCTCCGGAGGATTTATGAAGGCAAAATAGTGTATCCCACGTCGATTACAGACATCTAGGAGCTAATAGAAAATGAAGTTTGGCATAATACTGAATAATTCAGATATATAAGTTTCGCCTCCTTATGGCTGGATCCAGAAACTTTCATATCCAGTTCTAGTATTTAACTAGAAATTTTAAGTTTAGATTTGTTTCTCATTTTTTATTTTTGGCACATATGTTTCTGTAGAAGGAAATAATACTAGAAACTGCTGTTAAAAATTCCATGCAGGCCCGAAAAGTTGATGCTATTCGTCAGAATCTTCGAATGAGGGGCTTCCGATGCAACCTCATCTGCACTCGAGCCTGCACTCGTTTAAATATCATCCCATTGTTTGCATCAAGAGCTCATGCACTAAGGTCAGCACCAAACATCATTATTCTCCCTGTGGTGATTCGAAAAATAATTGCGCTAAACATAAACGTTAAATCATATACATTGAAGGTATTTATCAATACGCTGGGGCTTCGACCTCTCAAAGGTGACAATATTCGTGGGAGAAAAAGGAGATACTGATCTTGAAGAACTACTTCCAGGTGTACATAAGACGATAATTCTCAGAGATTTCGTACGTTATGGAAGCGAGAGGCACTTGAGAGACGAGGAGAGCTACGAGAGAGAAGATGTAGTTCCAGTGGATAGCCCGAATATAGCCTCTCTAGCAGAAGGATGTGATGCCAGTGACATATCGAGTGTTATAGAGCGCATTGGAGGAAAACTATGATGATTCTAACTAGTGTGCAAGGACTCTGTGTTTGTTGTTTTTATCAATAATAGTTGTTATATTGAGAGGGAGAAAAAATAACACATATATATGTATTATACCCAAAGAAAGAGGAGATTTACACATTGTTTGTTGATGACAACAAGGCATACTTGCTGTTGTTTAATGAATTTTAATGAATATGGTTACGAGATATGCTTGTTTGTAGATGACAGCAAACATACATTTTAGTTATCATAATTAGAGGAAAATACTAAATTTTTTTAAATTTATAAAAAACACCGTATAAGAAAGTTATCTTTGGAGTGTTAATATGTTGTTAAAAGGTCTTGATACCCTATGAGTTAAGAAAGAGGAGAGCAAAAGAGAGCATCTATTATATATAAAATAAATAAGAACAAAATTATCCAAAATATGTTACTTGTTTATCACATCTCAACTTAATAATGTTGTTGCTTGTAACAATTTGAAAAAAAGATCGTGATGTTTTCTCTAACAAAATAATTTTGTAATAATTTGTAGCCTAAGGGGGTGTTTGGTTCAATTTCTAGAAATTATAGGAAATGTTTTCCACTTAAAATATGATTTTCTTGTATTTCTTAAAAAAATTATAGGAAAAGTTTTGATAAATCAAAAAGTACCAATTTTCTTGTTTTTTTTTACTTTGCTTGTTTGATTCAAAACAAGAAAATGACTCATAACTTAATAGAAAATAACAAGATTTGGTAGGTTTTTAATTAAATATGGCATGTGTCAGATTTCTGGTGATTTCATCTTATTTTGAGAGGAAATTGCTTTTTGTAAAATTTGGTAGGTTTTGATATTTTATAGAAAATATTTCTGTAAATTTTTTATTGAACCAAACACAATTTACAGAAATCTATGAAAAACTTTTAATTACAAATTTGCCATTGTCAGATGTTTTGAGAAAAGTTTTCTCAAAAAGTGTGCAACCAAACAGCCCCTAAATATCAGAAAACCGCTTAACTTGGACAATTATCAGATAACGCCCTTAAGTTTCAAAAAATCAAAAAACCACCCTTAAGTTTAGGACTTACCATAAAACCCGCTTCAACTTTAATATTTTATCAAAAGATCCCCCAACGGCGTTAACCACAATGTTTCGCTTGAGTGGATAAAATTACACATGGGGATATTTTTTCTAGGGATAAATTTTTAAAATAGACCACATTAGAAATTTAATTTAAAAGAACGACCCCTTTGAGATTTAGTTACCATGTCCGACGCAGTTTCTACCACTTGATTGAAACTGGGTCGAAAATGATAAAAAAGTTTTGAAAACTTCACGGGATGCTAAATCTCATGAAGTTTAGTTTGGTGATTATTAGGCTTAGGCTGGTTATATTTATTAGGCTGGGTAATTAAGTACTAAAACTTCACGGGATTTAGAATCCCGTGAAGTTCTATTTACCATTTTCAACCCCCGTTGGTTGAAACCATGTCGAAAATGGTGAATAAATTGCAAATGGGTCGATTTTTACAAATAAATTACAAATATGGTCTATTTTGAAAATTTATCCTTTTTCCAGTGAAAATTGTCGGTTCATACTTTTAAGGGATTTTTCTAACAAAATCTTATATTTAAAGGGAAATTTCTGATAACCCCTGAACTTAAGGGGGTTTTCTGATATTTTGGAAGTCATGGGGTTATTTGACAACCATCCAACGGTGTGGGGTTTTTTTTCCAATATTGGATAAGTAAACTTTGGAGTGTTATATGTAAATTATACTTAGTTAGGGACTTTATTGAACAGTCCAGGTAGCGTAGTCTAACCCTCGTCATTCCCAAGAGATCTGCAACAAATCAACCAAAGAAAAACATCAGATGAGAAGGCTTGGCGTCGTCCCAAATCAATGGCGGCGCCTTCGCCCTCCGCTCCTCCCTTCGACAAAAAGAAAGCTCCCTTTTACAAAAACCCCCTCCAAGAAACTCATACTCAAATATATCCCCTTCCTCGTCGTTCTCGCTCTCCTCCCTCCGATCTTCTTCCATTTGCGCCTCAAAAGATTCCAACAGGTCAGTGCTCGCTTTTCAAAACCCTAGAAGTTTGATCTTGTTTCTGATTCGGGAACTAATGTTTGCATTGGTGTAGATGAGGTTGAAGAAATGTCGATGGGTGGAGAATCCGCCTCTAGTTTGTGCTCATGGTGGGGATTCCAGCAAAGCAGCTCCCAACACTGTAAGCAATTTTATTTTATTTTGCTTTATTTGAATGTTATTTATTGCGATCGATTGTTAGCTAAATCCCCTCCTTTAGAGCAAGTCCAGCAAGCTCCCAGTTAGGAGTCCTAGTCATCAAGCTCTCAAGAGCTCTCAAGCAATTTGGTATAAAAAATTATAAAAATAGGCCTTGGGAGCATCTCCTTATTTTATGGAGCTCCAACAAGCTCCTAGTTAGGAGCTCCAACAATATCAAAAAAACCCCTCTTCTATTTTAATATTTTACCCATTACTTTTAATTATATTTAAACCTCTTGTATTTTATTTCTAACCGTTGGATACGGTCTTCGAGGGAGCGCACACGGTCTTCGAGGTAACCCGCGGCTTTCGAGGGTACGCACACGGTCTTCGAGGTAACGCACACGGTCTTCGAGGGTACGCACACGGTCTTCGAGGTAACGCACACGGTCTTCGAGGTAACTCGCGGTCTTCGAGGGAACGCACACGGTCTTCGAGGTAGCTCGCGGTCTTCGAGGTTGGGCACGAACTTCGAGGTATCGCAAACTTTGACCGTCAACCGACTGATTCCTATAAAATTCGATGCCTTCTCACCTCAACCCATCGTCTCCCAGAACAAAATGTCTAGCTCATCTAGCTCAAGCGATGATGAAATGATGAAGACGTTCTTTTTTATGGGAGCTGCTGTCGTCGAGGAAGAAGAACAAGGGAAAGGTTCAACTTCAGTTCAACACAAAAGACGTACCGTGCTCCATCGATACCGACTGGAAGGCCACAATCGGTTGTTCCAAGATTATTTTGCTGACACACCAACATATCCTCTTCATTATTTTCGTCGAAGATTCAGAATGTCGCGTTCGTTATTCCTTCGAATCCACGACGCTGTCGTCGAACATGACAAGTACTTCGTCCAAAAGAGGAATGGTGCTGGACAGTTAGGACTATCTAGCCTTCAAAAGATTACTGCAGCTATGCGGATGCTCGCATATGGAGCATCCGCTGACGCCGTTGACGACTACGTTCGGATCGGTAAAAGTACGTCGCTTGAGAGCGTGAAGAGGTTCGTTCGATCGATTATCAACATCTTTGGGGAGGAATACCTTCGTTCACCGACTAATGAAGACGTTGCACGCCTGCTCGAGGAAGGCTCACAACGAGGTTTTCCTGGTATGCTTGGGAGCATCGACTGCATGCACTGGGTATGGAAGAACTGTCCAACCGCCTGGCAAGGTATGTATACTGGGCATTTTCATGAACCTACAATTATTTTGGAGGCCGTAGCTAGCAAAGATCTTTGGATATGGCATGCCTTCTTTGGACTGCCGGGGTCTCACAATGACCTCAATGTGCTACATCGTTCACCGGTTTTCGCACAACTTGCGGAGGGAAGAGCTTCACCATGCAACTATACTGTTAATGGCCACGAGTACAATATGGGATACTATCTCGCCGACGGGATTTACCCAGAGTGGTCCACATTAGTGAAGACTATTCCAGCACCACGAGGAAACAAGCATAAATACTTTGCTCAACAACAAGAGAGCGCAAGAAAAGATGTTGAGCGAGCTTTTGGCGTGTTGCAAGCTCGATTTGCGATTGTTCGTGGACCAGGACGTTTCTGGCAACCTAGTGTGCTGAAAGACATCATGACAGCTTGCATCATAATGCATAACATGATCGTTGAAGATGAACGAGATTGTCAATTGGACAACAACTTCGACTTTAATGATTCGATACCAGTCGTTGAACCTTCTCATGTGCAGACGGTGCCTCTAACTGAGTTCATCCAAAATCATCATCGGATCAGGAACACGCAAACACACAAATCACTAAAGAATGATTTGATCGAGCATCTGTGGCAGCTCAAGGGATCCATCGACGAGGATTAAGTTTCTTTATGTCTAATGTAATTTCAGCAAAGAAGTTCGAGTTGTTGTACTACGCCAATTTTCTTTTCAATGAAGTAGTTGTTTTCATTAAATGCCAAAATTTTCAACTTCAAGTAGAATCATAAATCTAATACAAGATAATTAGGAAGAACTAATTAGGATGCGATGCGAGTACAATCATAAATCTAATACAAGATAATATATGATAATTAGGAAGAATCCTTGGACATCCACCTCTCCAATATCTCTGCCTGACGCATTTCAAAGTATTGTCGTTGAACTGAATTGAGTGTTGAGAGATCCATCTTCATGATATCGTCATCTTGTTTCTTCTGTTTTAGATCCATTTTTTGATTGGTGGTTTGCTTCATCCACGCGAAAGCCTCTCCCATGATGGACGTAGCGGACTCAGAGTTTTCCACATTTTGTTTCCTCTTGAGCTTTGCCGCTTTCCTCCCTTCAGGCCTTACTACCACATCATCCGAGTCAATGTTCAACCCGATGGGGGTCGTTGGCATGGAATTGTTTGGTGAGGAATCAGAGGTAGCGATTCTTCTCGGCTGTGATCGAATCTTATTGTAAGATTCCATTTGTTGGATCCACTTTTGATGATGACGCAACTCAACCCAGCAATGGTCAAACACGAATGACTTACCATAAAGAGATTGGTATAATTCTTTTACTTCTGCAGTCTACACAAGAGTTAATTTTAGAATAATCAAACATAATTAAACATATTGAATCTGAGCAAAAATAATCAAACATAATTAAATATTTACCTGGTCAATAATTCCCGTACCAGATCTTTGTCTTCCTTCAATCTGAGCAACGCACCCGCAGAACTTGTTGACGGACAGTTGAATCGTTGACCAACGATGCATCATTTGGTTTGGCGTGCGGCTCGTTGGATCGGTGGAGTATAGGATAAAATAGTCGTTAGCTCGGTGCCAAAACTTATCTTTGTGTTGCCCCGTACCTTGGATGGCGTCTTGGCTCGTGTTCAGCCAAGCAGACACAAGAAGCTTATCCTCGTGGACAGTCCAATTTTCGGACCGCGTGTAAGCCTTCTTCTTCTTTGTGGTCGGTGTTTCTTGGGATGACACTTGTTGTGTTGCGGATTGCGATAACTCGATGGGGTTACCTTCTTCTACGACTTCTGTATAGAACGGCGGGTATAAGGTCGATCCTTCACCGGCAAGGAGGTGCGAATAATAGTTTTGTGAGGGATCCATGAGATTTGTAATTTGATAGGGATGATTTGTGAGAGAGTTGAGTGGGATGATTTGTGAATTGAATTGGGATGAATTTATAGATGAATTTTTACAACAGTAAATTTTCCAACAGCCTGATTTTTTAACGGCTATATTTTCACAACGTCAAATTTTCCAACGGCTGCATTTTCACAACGTTCGGATTTTTATCAACTCACAATTTCAACGAAAATTTCACAACTCAAAGTTTTCACCTCAACAACAGACCCAACCCCAATTCGTAGACATTAAAAAAATTGAACTTCATCTTTCTCCCTTCGACAATCGACATCATCTCCGCCATCTCCGCCATCATCTCCGCCATCATCCATCATCTCCGCCATCATCTCCGCCATCAGTCTCCGATCCCAACCGCGGCCTTCGTCGACATCATCTCCGCCATCTCCGCCATCATCTCCGCCATCATCCATCATCTAAGCCATCATCTCCGATTTCTGGATTTGGAGGGGTTTTTTTGTAAATCGAAACCCAGTTGGGAGCTCCCAAGCGCTCCACAAATTTGTGGAGCGCTTGGGAGCTCCCAACTGGGTTTCGATTTACAAAAAAACCCCTCCAATCCCAAGCGATCCACAAATTTGTGGAGCGCTTGGGAGCTCCGAAGCTCTCCACCGCCACGTCGGATCTTGGGAGCGGGCTGGGAGCGATTCGGAGCCTGCTGGAGGGGGTGAAGCAGGAGACCTTGGCCACGTCGGATCTTGGGAGCGGGCTTGGGAGCTTGCTGCCCATGCTCTTAGGAAGTAGGTCGCGCCAATTATTAGATAAGCTATAAATTACAAGAGAACACATTCATAGGACAAATTTTCAAAAGAGACCTTTTTGATTTTTTATTTGTAAAAAACAACCCATTTTCAAAATATTTGTAAAAACCGACCTGGTTTCAGCCTCAGCGCTGAAACCTTAGCAGTTTTTAATTAAGCTGCTAAACTTCACGGGAGTTCAACTCCCGTGAAGTTTCACAGTTCAAAAAAAAAATTTAAACTGTGAAACTTCACGGGAGTTCAACTCCCGTGAAGTTTCGGAAACTTTTTTTCAAAAACCGACCTGGTTTTAGCGCTGAGGCTGAAACCAGATCGGTTTTTGCAAATATCCTAGAAACAGGTCGTTTTTTGCAAATAAAAGCTGAAATGGGACGGTTTTGAAAATTTGTCCCACATTCATATGTACGAGAAAGTCTCCAGTGGGATCATTGAACCTCGTAATTCGTGCACTGATCAATGTATACCATCCCTTGGTTAATTGAACTTCGTATGATCCAAGGGCTGATATCCCTTGGGTGCACATTTGATGTCATGGACCGGGGTCCATACGATACTTTCTCCATATGTACCTTGTTTTTTTAAAGAAACCCCTTTGTCTAAAAAGTTAAAATTAGAAACCCTCATTTAGGATCATTAATGGCACTGTTGGTTTCCTCCTTTCAACTCTAAAAAAACTGTGGATTAAGTGCGAACGGCTGCACAAATGCATGAAGAATAAATGTTCTGACTTTTTTCATTAACAATCGTAGATAAATGGGTTTTTTGTTGAACTTTTTAGCTGGGAAGATTTCTTGAAAAATAATGTATAGATAAAGGGGTTTGTTGTAATTTACCCTAAATAAAATTTCCAGCTAATAATTCATGCTAAAAGACACTAAAAGGTTACGATTGTAGCATGTATAAGATTTGTGTCGATGCCTAAAAGAAAAGATTCAACTAATTGTTACCTGAACCATAAGATATCCATAATATTCCGAATGTGTTTCAATGTGTATCAAAATTTTCTGATTTCTGACTATATACCTTTCAGTAAGGAATCCACAAACTCGTCATTTCTAAATCAAGAACTGCATTCGTTAACTGTAAAATGTTGAAATCAACTAATTAGAGCTCCCACAACTGTGTTTGAACTCCTTGTCACAGCTAAAGCAACGCAAGCTGCCTAATCTAGAACATCTCCAGATTACCACAGGCTGCCAAAATCAATAGATCTATAGATTTCTGTTGAATTATTTGCATTTTTTATAAACAATTAACATAAATCTTAAATCTTGCAGAGTAGTTCTTATATAAAATTTCCTGAATGCCAAAGAAATTATAATTGCAACTGAATACCTATAATTTTGCACATAGACCTACTAGATTTTAGTATCCATAGTCAACATAATTGACTCCTTCGATAAAATATAAAATCAGCTGACTGACAATTAGAAAATTGAGATAGTACTGAAAGTCTTTTTTTCTTTGTGCGAACAGATGGATGCATATCGCATTGCAATTGATTCTCATGTGGATTGCATTGAGATTGATGTCTCTCGTTCACTCGATGGTGAATTGTTTGCGCTTCACGACAGGTAGCTCTTATTTTCACGTGTAGTTATAATGTTGTTAATGGCAATAATCAGTGTTTAAATATTGTTCACTTGTGATTAATTCTTGAGTCCCATCTGGATCTGATTCTGATAATGACAGGCAGGGATCTACAGAGGATGTCGGGTAATGGTACTGCGAAAGTCGGTTACATGAGCAAGAATGAGGTGAGAGCCCTTTTCTTCCCACCTGTCAAATGCAGCATAATAAATTACTCAAGGCAATGCAAGAAATAGAAATGTAACGCCTACTCCAAATTAAAAAAGGCCAAGAGGGGGTTTCTTTTTTAGTGTGGGTGTAGAATTCTTTTATGCACCTGTAGAATGCTCTTCATGGCTCAACCATTTATCGAACTGAGGGCAGTAAGAGTCAGCAGGTGGGTGTGATCTTCTCGAGAAAGACTTTTCCATAAATACAAATGATGGGCCTTCTTCTCACTTAATTTCTAACTGTAGGTGTTATATTTCCTTTTAATACATAGCTGAGAGGTTATTCTCTATCATCTAGCATCCATTGTGTATTTGGATATTCTACATGGTGGTTGTCACTGTTTATATTGAAGCGTGCTGATAATATCCACACTGTTTGCAATCATCTAATCATTTTCATTTTTCCTTGGTAATTGTCTATATATGATACTATTTTTTTCCATGTCACTTTGTGGTATATAAGATTTAAAGAATAAGGTCAACTTTTTACTGTGAGTTCAATAGTTTAATTACCGAACCAACTATCACGTCTTTTTTGCTTGTAAGGGTATAGATAAAGGAACTGGATGCGAGCTTCCTGTTACAATCAGAGTTTGGCAACCAAAAAGTGCCCACCATCGATGATGCTTTAGGGGTAATCTATTTTGAATCCTCTCTGATGATATGCTGCATCAGTCATTAGCTACTCATTATCCCTAATTTAATTATTGATCCATAACATGGTGATATCTCTTGCAGTTGGTGTCACAATCGGTAAGGCAGGTGGTTCTTGATGTCAAAGTTGGGCCTCCCTCATATGAGAAAGGCTTAGCAAATGATATATTGTCTGTGGTTAGTATCATTTCTTTCCAGAGTAGATGTAACGGATTATATGCAATATTTTACATACTAAATAATATGTTTCTGCTTTGCTGCTTTCCGAGTTTTTTTCAACCTCTATTATGGTCTCTGCACTCTCAGTTTGCTGGTCTCACATAATATCTGGTCACCTGACATTAGGCAATTTGCCACTTT